TCTATCTATCTATCTATCTATCTCTATTTCTCTTCATTTTGTGATCGTTTACCACTACGTGAGCCGTGACTGTTCTGTTACTCTGTTTCTTTTGTTCCTTCTGTTATTCTTTCCTTATGAGAAACATGATTACTTTTATGATCGTTGCCTGAGAACAGATGCATCCGTGCATTTGACGAGCTTTTACTACTACTGCGAGTTCCGTTCGCCGACAGGTTTCCTTAGAAACTCGCACTTGACTCGACGAGATTACTCTGTGGAATGTCAGTAATTTCTGTGGTGAATGTCACGCGGCCAACGTAATGCCCTGCAACCCGAGTTGACAGATTCTCATTGTGAATTTCAGAATTTCGCCCGGACGCACTCACCGACCAGACTGATGAGCTCCGAAAACACGTACTCGCTCTCCAGGGAGCACTGTAACTTGAAATATTCGGGTATGTTATCTAATAAAACATCTTTGCAGCATCCTCTTGCTCATGCACAGTATGCTCTGTTTGTTCACATACTTTGTGCAAAGTTAACATAGAACGAGCTGCGAGTTTTTTCCTCGCAATTCATTTTTCTTATTTTCTGTAATTATATTTTTCCAATTTTCTCTCAATTGCTTAATTCAAATTAGAATAGTATACATTGACGTTGCTGCTTTTTAGCTGGAAATTGCGATAAGCAAAAGCCAATCTGTTGACACGACTAGGTGCTATTGAATCTCGTACAATAAGTTTACGCCGTCTGACCACGTACGTTCCGTATCTACTTGCCTGGTATTCTACTGCGGATGCCCTAAATCCAAGCAAATTATCGTTCCTGTCGGTATATTTTCTCGCGCGTCCCGACCACGTACGCAGCCTTGGCTTCTCGAGAATGAAATCCGGGAGTCACAATATTGTCCTGATTCCGCGAGGCTCGGAAGGGTGCATAATAATAGAGGATTTAGAATTGGCCTGAAGAGGCTCACAGGCGCCGAGTGGCTGAGGACAGATTACACGCCGCAGAAAGGAAGGGTTTGTTTGT